TATATATGATAATGATATTGCATTCGAACTGAAGTATTTCACAAAAGCGATTAATCCAATGAAGGCCAGTTACATTCATAGCGTCCTTGGGCGATCCATCAGAAACGCTCTTATACATACACCTTCAAACTGTATTAATGATTAATGATTCAGACTGACTCGTCAAAGCCCTCGCCCAAACGATGTCAAAATATATAGACCATACTTCTATTTGCAAAACTATTCATTTGTACAAGAATTCGCGACCATTCGACCATGAAGACAAACCGGAGACGCACAAGTGGTAGACATACAAGCACTCCTCTACTCCTCACAAGGAGACCGTCAGTTAGGGCTGGGCAATGAGTCGCTTTAACAAAATCCGGATAATATCTTAGTGCACCTCTTCGGCAAATAATATAATATGAACCACTTCGGCAAATGGATTAGAACCACTTCGACAAGCGGGAAGCATCGTTTCAACAAATGGGTGCACCCACTTCTGCAAACGGGTCAGGAAAAAAGAGAGTTAAGAGTCTGAATTCGGATGTTTCATAGAGAATTATCCGGTTATCCAAAAGATTATCCGGATTTTGCCCACCTCTACCTTCAGTACAAGCTCGCTTTCTGTGACGACTAGCAAGACATGCCCAAACCCGGCAACCACAAGCACTATCATTCACGGACTGCATTTTCAAAGAAGACATAGATCTATCACAAGTGCAAAATACCAACATTTACAGGAGTTGCAATCATTAATTCCGGCTACGACGCATTCCCTTTGCCTTTATGATACTTTAAAGCAATGTTTTGTAAACGCATTTTGAAATAATATTTTGATAACGTGCACGTGAGCATGCGAGTGTGTGTGTGTGTGTGTGTGTGTGTGTGTGTGTGTGTGTGTGTGTGTGTGTGTGTGTGTGTGTGTGTGTGTGTGTGTTAGTTTTATAAAACGTTCCACAGTACTTATAACACAATACGATTACATAAGTACTGATGAATAGAGGTGTAACAAGAGAATAAAAAGCAAAAAAAGAAAATGGAGAGATCAGATCAGATAGATAGATAGATAGATAGATAGATAGATAGATAGATAGATAGATAGATAGATCCTTGTTTTACACACACACTACTCACACACTCACACTTACACACATACACACATACATACACATGCACGCACACACACACATAAAATAAACACACACACACTCACACACACCCACACATACACACACACACACACACACACACACACACACACACATACACACACACATACAAGCACACACACACACACACATACACATCAACAAGGAAACAAACTCTGTTTTTAGAATAACATATTCATTATGTCTACGTTTTCCTCCCTACGTTATTCCCTCCCCTACCAAGCCCTAAACTTCCCAAACCCTCGTTTCAGCCCTGGAGTTCATGAGTCCGGCCTACCGCCGAGTGTTCAACATTCTGGCCAGTCTTGTCTGGATCGCCGGCGGTGTCCTTCTCAACGGCTTGGCTTACCTGCTGAGAGACTACTGGTACCTGTCCCTGGCCGTCGCCTTACCTACCGTGCCTTTCCTGGCCTTCCACTGGTCAGTTCTGACTACTTCATAACTGTCTGTTGTACTCGTGTAAAAGAGAAGTTGACAAGGTCGCTACTTTCTGCTGAGATGTATCCAACTCAGCCAGGGCTGGCCCCTTTTTTCCTGAAGGACAAAAATTGTAACAAGATGAGATTGG